AGTCCATCAACCTTGATTTCTTCAGTTAGTTAGCTTCTTCAGTAACTTCAATTACTAGTTAGTAACTTCAGAAAGTTACCTTTCTTTATTCTAAAGTCTGCATCAACTGTATTATGCTGTTCCCTCAAATCATGAGGAAAACTGTGACTAGCACTACATTTTTTGTAAGCAGGTTTAGCTGCTGCCTGTATAATTCTGAATAGCAGTTGCTTCTACAGCAAACTGAATTAAATTCCTTAATAATCCACTATGGAATCATTCAGGAACCTTCTTGTTCCACAAAAGGGCTGGTGTCATCCTTCCCTTGTTATCCTTTCCCTCACCCTCACCCCAACATAATGCATGACACAGCATTATCTATCCTGAAAAATCCCAGTAACAAATAAACCAGCGGTAGCTCCATAAAGCTACTGGGATATTGCATACAAGTCTTCTTAAGAATCAACACAATCAGCTCCGGAAAACATAAGCAAATCTTCCCAATTGTGTTCTGAAGCCTGAAGACAGAACAACTCCAAAAAACAGAGACAAATGAGAAACAAATTCAAGAAATGATAAAAATTTATAAAAACCACCCCAACTATGATCAGACATTAAGAATATGATTAATCTGAATCACTGAGCTTTTATGAACTGAAACTAAGAGATGCTGACTGAACTATTATTTTCACCATGGTAAATGGTTAATTGTAGGATGCACCACAGCTGTAAATAGCGAAGACATTTTTCAGCAGATTAACAACTAGAAGGGAAAATAGTAAGATAGGCAGTAACATACAGTGTGAAGAAACACAGCTTTTAAATTCATATAGCTAAAACTGGAGAAGGCTTGCAAGCTTCAGTAAGAATAGGTAAATAAATGAAGACAGTACATGCAATTTAAAAACTATCTCAACTTCATGGAGTTTTTTGAAGCTCAAAGTGCTAGTTTTACAGGGAAGGTGTTAACACATTTGCTTTACTGGGACAAGAGGAGTAGCAGATAGTTCAGAAAGATTTTATTGCTGATTATCTAATACTTACCTAGCAGTACCCATCTGTAAAGTCCATTTACTATATAATCCAAGGTAGTGTCTTTTGGGGCAAGTTTTTGTACTGAGAGGAGTGTTCTCAAACAGGCTTCCCTTCCACTCTACCTATGTATTCCTTTCCCCTCACAAAACCACCAGGTGACCCAAAACCATAATCAGGGACACAGCAACTCACTTTGCATGTAACTGGACATCTCATAACCACAGCTAGTGTCAGTCATCCCCATCAGCACATGACAAAGCATAGCAGTAGAAGCTCATTCTTCCCTTTTAGCAATCAAAAAGACAGCATACTCCTTAGTTTTCATAATGAGAATTTACTATTTTTTCTTTTTCTTCTCACAGCATTGTCTTATATTTATTCCAGAAGGCATTTTCTTACACATTTTTAACTTCCAGTGCCTATTGTTTTTGGTAGTTTTTCATCTCCACAAGAAATTTAATCCACAACTAAAAAGTTACCATATAACCTGCAGGTTACTCTACAACTCATTCTTGTCATTCTTCCAACTCTCTACTCCTCCCTCTTCCACCTTTTCTTGGGCATAGAGGGAGCAGTCGAAAGAAGAGTGTTTAAGAGTGGAATCTACCTGTAGAGTGAAGAAAAAGCTAGCCAGCAGCAGAGAAGAAAGAACACCAAATGCTGAAACACAGACTACAGGTGAAAGCAAGCTATACCAAGCCCTACTTCCAATATCTCTTCTTGTTTCAAACAATATGCATGCATGTAAGGACGTCATAAAAGTAAAGGTCTTTTTAAGAAAATATTAGATATGGCTTCCAAAATAGTTCTAACACCAACAGAATGTAATTATCTACTTGGTACTTTCAGAGCACAGTATAAGTTGTCCCAAGGAGATCATTAGTTGACACTATTTTGCAGTTCTATAAAATAAATTCCCTCTGGCAATCACAGAACTTGCAATGGTGTTAGACAGACACCACAGCACAAATTCAGTGTGCCCTTAGCCTCTAATACAGCTCTTTTCTTCCACAGATGTTGCATGGATGAATTTTGTAATTTAATTCTTTAGCACGAGTTACTGGAAACCTTGGTGCTTCTGTCCAGAAAAATTGAACAAGGACTAAACTTGTTTAATCATTACTGCACTGCCTATATCCTCCATTATTTCTTCAAGAAAGCTCCACAGAACACATTCAAATTCTGCAGAATGCAAACAACAAGAATTTATTTCTATTGCCAGTGACATCATTTAGTAGACACACTGTTATTTCCAACAGTAAAAGAGGTTGAATACCTACCCCATATAAATCAGAAATAGCTATCACATGCTAAATTGTGACAGAAATTTCATGTTTGTACAATAAACTTTACAGGTCCTCAGCTCCTGCTCCAGACCCTCTGCTGCCCTTTTTCGTGCTACTGCAACTAAGCGTGTATTAGCAAGTAGTGTAACCCAGCACAGGTAGATTTGTGTGTGCGCTGAGGACTCAACATCCCTACTATACACATCTATGTGGTGTTTTACTTAAGGCTAGATCAAACCTGGTGCTGTGGACTCAAGGCCTGTTAACAGCTGGCATGCAATAGGCATGTTTCTGAAACACAGTTTCTATTTTCATTTCAGTCAAAAGAAACCCTGTGCAGCCTAAGAAAGCTTAACAGTAAGAGAAGATCAGGAAAGTCACTTTACAAGTGCACACTCCCAAGCTGAGCTACAAAGCTAAAGTAGACCTACCCACTGAGTTCAGAGATGAAGACTAGAGACAAGTAACCCCCATGAAGCATTTACAAAATGGATGTTAGCTCCTCAGCACAGCTGCTCCTCCAGAGCTGCCCCTGTTGTGCCACACTCCTTGCTAACTACACGGATGTACCTTGTACTGGCTGCTCCTGCTGATGTGCCAGATGTACATGTCCATAGCTCCAGTCTGCATCTCTATATTGTCACATGTCATCGTGGTGCTCATGCATATACCCTAGTAGGTTACAGCACAGTGCAGAGCCACCACATGCCCTCTGCTGGACTGCTGTTCCTTCCTTCTCCTACTGCCTCCTCACACCTCAGCAGCTGCCATCCACAATGACAGCATCTGCAGCGCTGTGGGCAGGGGCACTGCAGAGCCCCAGGAGAAATGGCCTGTCCCTGCCACTACTGAAAGGATTCCTTTCAGCCTTGTTTCCAAACAAGTCTGGGCATACAGTAAGAAACTAAGGCCATCCTTCCTTCCAGCCATCAGAACATAGGTTCCTAGGCCCTCCCAGAACTCAGGTTGCTTTGAAACTTCTGTTTTGCCACCAGAATATAAAAAATATCCAGAAATATTCTATACTCACAGGTATGAGTGCTGACTTATTATTTATTTTTAATTTCCCTCTTAATTCTACCCCTTGAAGCTGAGAAGCAGAGGATATCCACAGTCCCTTGAGGTTTGAAGGAGGCACACATTTTAAAATGCTTTAGAAACAGACAGATCTAAAGAACTTTGTTCCAGCTATGTCTCAAATCCACCTTTAATTTGACTTCTAAATTGGGGTAAGTTTTCAAAACTGCTAATTCATCTAGAAGTGATGAAGGTAAATGGTAGTATTTAAAATATATACTTCAACTATTTGTACAGTATAATAATAATTTAAAAAATAAAACCCAGAACTTTATTACAGTGCCCCAGTTACACCACAAACAGTCTGTTAATAATTCTTTGTGTGACCATATTTGTTTAACAAACAGATATTTAATCTTATTCTAGCGTTTACATTAACCATAGACCCTTAAGGAAAAAAATTCTATGAATTCAGTCACTCTCAAGATTTGTTTAAAGAATAGTTCAACAAAAGATATTCCCTCTACTATATGTCATTGTGGCATCTCTCTCCAATCTGTTTCACAAATCTGCTTTAAGAGTTTCTATTATACTAGCCAGAATTACTCCATTTTGCAGCTTCCCAGATGCCCCTACAATAAACAGCCATGGAAAGCTGACCTTTGTTTCTGGGTGACGTTCAGGTGAGGAAGATTACCAGAAAAACCTTTTGCTAGTGTAGTGAAGGAAATTATAGAGGTCATTCCTCTTTGTTCAACCAGCTAACATTATTAACCACCAGTTATAACTCCTTGATTTTGTGCCTAATAGTGACTACAGATTAAATGTAAATATAATAATTTTAGTTTCTGCCACCTGTCACCATCCCCAACTCAAGCATCAAATGCAAACAGCATATTATATACAGCATGGCACAGCACTGTTGTTCCTTTCTCTAGCCAAAGACACACTGCTGTGCCCTGTCCTGATTTTGGCTGGGATACAGTTAATTTTCTTCCTAGTAGCTGGTGCAGTGCTGTGTTTTGGATTTAGTGTGAGAATAATGTTGATAACACACTGATGTTTTAGTCGTGGTTAGGTAGTGCTTACCTTAAGTTAAGGATTTTTCAGTTTCACATGCTGTCAGTGAGGTGGTGAACAAGATGCTGGGAAAGAGCATGGCCAGGACAGCTGACTCAAGCTAGCCAAAGGGATGTTCCATAGCATATGCTCGTATATAAACTGGGGGGAGTTAGCTGGGGGGTGTGGATCACTGCTTGGTCAGTGGGTGGTGAGCAATCGCATTGTGCATCACTTGTCCCTCTTGGGGTTTCTTTCTTTCTTTTTTTGGTTCTATTCCTTTTCATTACTATTATTATATTTTATTATTGTTATTATTACATTTTATTTTTGTTGTTAACCTATTCTTATCTCAACCCACAAGTTTTACTTTTTCTTCTCCTCAGTTCTCCTCCCTAGCTCACAAGAAGGCAGGAGCGAGCAAGGAGCTGTGTGGTGCTTAGCTGCTGGCTGGGGTTAAACCACAACATGCCCCAAGGTGGAGAATCAGATTACTGATTTAGTAACCTGATTGGTGTGCTGACTTTAGTAAAATATCCTACCCACCATACTTTTAGAAAAGTCATGTACTTTATTCAATAATAAAGTTTTCAAATGACATGATTGACATTAAGCAATATTTACCTGCTTCTTCTTTAATAAATGACAAATCTTCTTCTGGATACGGGACTGATGGTTGCAACACTGAGCAATCTTCTGAGTTCTCTTCAGTATTAGGTGGTATATTATAAATAAACCTCTTTGCAGTTTGGTTTTTCCTTCTTGCTTTTCCAGGTTCTTGAACTGATTGTCCCTGTGCGCCCATGTCATTCCATACGAAAACTTTTCCCTCACCTTGAGATTCATTTTCTGCCATTTCAGGTGAGCTGTCCTGGACCCAACTGCAGTCATTCATTTGGTAGCTTTCCATTTGGCCCTCGTCAATAGAGTAACCATCATTCTCAGTTTTTATGCTACTTGCCAAGTTGGTAAGGTTTCGTGTTGCCCAGAAGCTGGCAACTTTCTGATCCCTTGGAGACAAGCCATCCCTGCTAACAGATCTTCTGTTGTAATCCACGACAACGGTCTCTGGAGCTTCTGATTTTATACTTATGTTTAAGGCATCTTTAATGAAGTTGCGGCAGGACTGGACAACCTCCGTCATCTGAAGGTAGCTGGCCACCGACATCACTTCAATGGCATTTTGGCTCGTAAGCACGAGGTTACCAGAATATAAGAAGTCCAAGATGACAGAAAAACCTTGAACAGCAACAACGTCTAAATAGGTAACAGTGGTTTGGTTACGGCTTTCTTTGTTTGTAAAGCAATACAGAGTCTTAAAGAAGCGGCTGCCTGCAACCAGGATGTTCTTGTGAGCTCTGAAGACCCTCCCACTCACCACAATATTAACATCACAAAGAATGCCTTTCTTCCTCTGCTCGTTGAGCTCTTGCAGGAGCTGATAGCAGTAAGAGTTCTCATTTGGCCTGCTGTTAAAATCACAGTATCCTTCATTGTTGAGTTCTGATGGTAACTCTGACTCCTGCAATTAAAAAAACCCACAACTATAATTAGCTCTTAATAAATGCTTTCCTTGTCATCCTACACTATGATAAGGATATGAAAATAAGATAATGTTAATCAAACGATTTTTTTAAAATTTATGTTCTTGGTCATAAAGGGAGGCAGGAATTTATAATTTTAAAATATTTCTGAAAGCTAAGAATCACAATCTCATTCTGCACCCTCCACCCCCAAATGTGAAACAAAAACAGAACTAGCAGAAATTGCCTTGAGGGCAAAGGAAGTGAAAATTTGGCCAAAAGGAAGAAAAGATTTAGTTTAGTGTGAAGTACTTGTTTTTCTTAACCCACATACATTAAGGATTCAAGAGTCTCTCCTTCCACAGATTTAACCAGATGGTTCTCACATATCCAACCCCCTGTTCTTCCCTAGAAATCTCCACTTAAACAGGTAAGTAGAACCCTGATAACTGATTGCTTTCTCATGCTGAGATGAATACATGAAGATTAAGTCTGTTTCTCCCAATCTGTCCATATGTTTTCTTTAAAACATATTACTAATTATAATAGCAGATATATTTCTTACACAGTTCTACAAATTCAGCATTTACGCTTTATTTTCTAATTACAGCAGGTTTAGTATCAAATAGCGATATGACAAGTGGACAGAATACTGCAAGTGACCAAACAAAACTTAAGCTTCCATTACCTTATTTAACACTTTCTTGAATCAAGCTTCATTGAAACTTTCCAGTAGCAACACCTTTAACTGGTACATACTTATTATGAAAACAATATCTACTTCTTGTCTCTACAACTTTTTAAAGACATGATCTCAAACATGGCATGAAAACTTAGCTAAAATTAGCATCAGACAATCCAACACCAAGAAATTAAAGATTAGCTTAGTGTGAGGCTGATTAGTAAGATTTGAACTAGATTTTAGCATATTTAGTAAACTTATAACTGACGTTTAAGCAATGATGATTCAGAGCTGCTACAAAGCAGCAGCTAGGAGAAAGCAGAAAACATCAGACTTGCATATCTGAGACCATACTTACATTGAGTGACTGTGCTGCCATCAAGAGTAGTGATGATGACAGACCCTGTTTTATACTGGATATTTAAGACTCCCTCTCTTCTTCCCTAGCAAATAAGGACGGTTCAAAACTGGCTGGCTCCAGTATGGTTTAGGATGAGAGAAGATCAGATTTCACAAATCAAATTGCTTCTAAATCTCTACCCTTCTCAGAAAAAATGCTTCGGTGAAAAGAAGAGGTAAAAATAAAAGCAATTAGGCTTTTATGTGAAAACAAGCAACAGATCTTCGTCCAACCTTATCTTAATTTTTTCTTCGTACTCTCTGACATACCCAAGTATTCCCTCAGATCAGAGCTCTGAAACAGAAAGCATGTCCCAAACAGCTAGATCTATCGTTCTTTAAATTCTCAGCAGATTTTGGATCTGGACTAGCTTCCTGTCACTCCAGCAACAGAGCACTGTGTAGTTTCAAAACACCGAATTACACTGACTTTGGATCAGATTAAGATGAAAATTATTGTACCCTAAGGTGTTGTCACTCTAGTCAAAGTCAATCATCAGTAACTTGCATCGCACACAGTGAACGTTAGGTAGATATTATGATAGCTGACAATTTTAATTTTCTGAGAACATGTTAAACACCACATAAAATTTAAAAATAATCTGCCAGGTTGGTTTGGGGTTTTAGTGTTTTGGTTTTTTTTTGGGGGGTGGGTGGTGTGTTTGGTTGGGTTTGTGTTTTTTGGGGGTTTTTTGGTTTTTTTACAAATGTCTGATTAAAGAATGAAGACAGAGTACCTTTTAAATGTATATGTATCCAATCAAGCTGATAAAGAAAGAAATAGAGCATTATAGTGTGGGGTTTTTTTTGTTTTCTTAAGAAAAAGACAAGCCATCATGGTAAAAAGGAGCTGCAGATCACAAATGTGCTATAATTACAAAAACTGAAATCTTCATTATGAGAAGACCAGAAGGATGAGTGAAAATAGGAGACGTTATACAACTAATGTCCAAGCTACGGGTAAGTGTGTGTTGGGGAAAGAGACTGGTATTACATCTTTACAGAAATGGATGCATAAAGATTTTTAAACTAACTGTAATATTGGAAACAACTGTTTAACTGCTAGCATAGAACCTACTATACCTCAAATTAAATGGAAGTCCCAATATCTGAATAGTTATCAAGCCTTTGTACAGCATTTGACAAGTAGAATTAACACTTACTATGAGAAAAATGCAAAAAATTTAATAACCCTTGAAGAGTTTTAAACACCTCCCTATTGTACAGAAAAAGTACAATACAGTTCAATAGGAGGTAAGATACAGAAAATAATTACAGAAAATCAAAAAGAAGTGTATTTTCAAGCTTCTGTTACTTATGTTGTGTTCATGGCACATCACTGTAAGGGTACTGTTTTTCTGATGAGAACCACAAAGTAATGGTATTTGCTTAGATGTCAATTACTTTTTCAGAATACAGACCAAATATTCCAATCACCTAAGTTATTTCAACACCAAACCACCTTATCCTTCAATAGAAACTAGTAAGAAATCTATAATAAAAATCAGGACTATTTCAGTTTTATTTGTGGAATCTATTCTAAATCTGAAAAGCTTTTCTCTGAGATGAGCAGCAGTCTAACAGAACAGAGACTGCTCATGGAAACTAATATTGTGCTCTGTTTCAGACTCATCTGAATACACGCAAAGATAAACTACTATTTCATATGTGTAATTCACTATTTACACTTGCCTAAAAGCTAATAGGAGCAGAAACACATGATCAAAACCTGCAACCATAAACTTACTTTTCTTTCTCCTCCTGTGCTATCAGCACACTCTTGTCTCCTGGGTGCAAGAACAGTGAGGGATGTAAGAATAAAACAAAACAAACCCCAAACCAAAACCAATCTGACCATAGATTTCATCTCAGCTGTACGTATATGAAAAGTAGCTATGCCACATTTTTGTAATCCCTTCCCCACTACCACACCTTACTCTACAGCAGTTCCCTATGCCCCCAAATTAATTCTTATCCTGAAAAATGGATCCTCTAACAAAAGCAAGATATCAGGAACTTGTTAATTTGCCTCTGTAGTTGCATGTGCTTATCTCAAAATACGGTCTTATCAGCTGCACACATGATGCTCCTCTGCTGTTTTACATGCTATAGCATCGCTCACAGAAAACTCAGCGATTTAAAACTGTTCCATTAAGTGCCTAACATCCAATCAAGTAGCTTGAGGTCTGGTAAAAACTACATAAAACCACAGCAAATTATAGTCCTTGCTCTGAAGGCCTGACTTCCTCCCCAACGTTTTTGCTCTGTTAAGAGTAATTGAAGAAGTTAACTTAGAACACTACAATGTAACTCTTACATCTGAAGTACAACTCCTATTCATCACCACTCACATAAAGCAAACAACTACAGTTCACATGGAAAAAACAACACATCAAAGGCCTTCCTCCTTTTGGAGAGCTTCTGCTTTAAACCAACATGACTGTTAGGCTGGAGAAAGCTTTTCTGGCAGTACTTCCAAAGCTCAGCTTCAAATTATGTCCAGAGAGAAAATGCTTTAAGAAGCTGCTTTCTGGGGAGGAACCCCCAGCAGCCAATAAATCTGCATCTTATGGAGCTAAATTAATCACGGAATTGAAATCTTTTGCAGTGATTTCCCTGGAAGTATCTATTTCTCAAAATTTTTACAAACACAAGAGTCCATTTATTTAAAAAAAAAAAAAAAAAGGTAGTTTAAAGCTGACTGTATGTTTCCTTAAACTTTAATATGGAGACAGATTATTTTAAAAACTAGCATAGAAAAAAAAGTCAAGATTTTTCTCTTAGAAAGAAGCACCGACTGACAGCTCAATACCCTTGAATTACAGCAGCTGCAACCACTTGTGATGTATTTTGGCATTCCAAATTAAATGTATCCCAAAAATAAACCAAAATCATCACTCATTTCTTCATGAGCGTAATATCCAACAGACCTATAGAAATTTCCACTGCTTTACTGCCTTAACACCTATAATTTCCTTTTCGCACTTGAACAGTGGCACTATGCCATATGTTTATTAGCAGCTGCTAAACATGCCCTGCAGTTGAAGCTTGTCAAGTCAAGAATACATGTGTGTTGTCTCTAAGACAAAGGCTGAGAGATCTCTCACAAGTTTCATTAAATCTAAATGGCTTTGCAGCCTCATTATGTATGTTGCAAATACGGTCAGAGTACAAATTACCTACTTTTGTTCCAAGTATCTCGTATCATGGCATTAAGGAAAAAAACGGGACTATTGCTTTGGTATTAATTTAAACATACATATCAAGAGAAATTCAAGTGCCATTAAAAGTGTGAAAGGATATGAAAATTAAGCATAAAAGCAGAAAGAAAACAGAGACTCTTAATCGGATTTTTGATAAAGCAAATGTAACCCAAAAATGCACCACAAAGAAAATTACATTGACCCTTGAAAAACTGCAATTCCTTCCCTTATAAGAAGTTTTTAACTGAAAAGTAATCACACAGGGATGCTTCCAGACTGTTTTCTGCTTAAAAGCACCTATCTCTGTTCAGTTACCTTCTAGAAGCTTACTTTGTCCAAAGCTTACCTTTAATATAGTAGAAAAGAACAACTGATACATCTCACCTATCCTACTGTTACATTTATTATTACAGTTACTACAAATATTTTTCTTAAACTATCAGTGGTATAAAAGCAGAGGCTCATTTTAATAAAATTTCCATGACAATGAAAGGTTAATCTTCAAATAAACACTCACATGACATTTTAGGCTACTGTGACATGCAAGCCAATATTCTGCCCCCTCTTCCACCCTCCCAGTATTTATTAGTCTTATGACAGACTGGGGATAGGAAGACAGAAAGAAAAAGCAAGCAAGTTTAGTAGGAAAAACTGACTGGAATATGTTTTATTTACACACAGCTTAATGCGAGTGAGAGAAAGTTCCAAGTGTGTCATGGATTAGCAACACCTAGTGATACATGAGGCTACAGAGTGACAGGGCATACCTTTACAAGCTAATCATTCACAACTCAAAGCTAGAAACTAGGCAACAAGATGTTAAGCAATATATTGCAGTAATTTTGTTTAAAGAGGTGGTAAAAGAAGTTAAGAATGGAAGTTTCAAAATTAGGAACAAGTTATTTAGGCAAATTTGGCTAAAATACTGCAGAGTGAAGAGCAAACGCCAGATTGGAGCAAATTGATAAAATGACCTACTGCTACGAAATGTTTGCAACAGTAGCTGCCTTAAAAATACACTGACTCAAAAGGTAGCATTACTCATCTTGAAGGTGAACGTCTCATTTGTAAATCCAAAAGTATTTTGGATAACTGATATTTATGTATCATAAGATTTTACTTGCAGTCCTGCAGTAGTTGCACATAAAACACTTGCATACCTTTTCCAACTAGCTCTAAGAAAACCTATGTTCACCTAACACTTCATCTGTCATCCTGATTATCCTACCCAAACAGAATAGCAGTTCTTGTCCAAGGTACCCCGAGCTCCTTAAAGTGCCCAGGCAATATGCTCAATTTAGCTACTGCACAACAATTCGGACTCCGGATACATCTATACAACCAAGGTGAGCGTTTTAATTAAAACTGAGCTCTAATAGTGAAAAGCGGAGTGACGGGGGATTAATGCCGGCTAACAGCTCAAGTGAGCTCGAGTACCAGCCTAACGCGATTGCACATTAGCTTATGCCCGCTGGCAAGTTTAACGCCAGCTACGCGATCCGAGGGAGCTTTTACAACGCTGACATCCTTAGGAGGAAAGGCTGCGGAAGGCTGGAGATCCAACAGGAGTATTCTTTAGAAGCTTTTCATCCACATGTTCTAGAGTTAGCCCTGCCTTACTCGTAAGAGGAGCCAAGAAACACAATGCTTTTTAAATTCAGCGGGGAACATGAAGAATTTCACTAGTCCTAAAGCATTAGAGGAGAGCTGGCATATTAATATGGCTTTCAGGAAACCACATGTTTATCTCAAACATACACCAAGCAATTGCAGACTT